CCCCAAAACCCCAAAACCCCAAAACCCCAAAACCCCAAGATTTAAAAAATAATTGAATTGATATCTTTATACGTATCTGTTAAAAGATAAGATGCAGATAGATCCTATACTTGCACCAATAAAAACATGGTCGAATGCCCACTTTATGAGCGCGTAGTTCAGCTGCTTTTCTAAAATATCGTCTATAGAGCTTCTGTAGCGCTGATGCAGGTTCATACTCATGAGAAGCACATTAGACATAAAATATATTCCCATAAAGAAACAGAAGACAATCATTGTAGTGTTAGAGGATAATTTGATCTTTGTCTCCCTCATCAAGATGTTCTTCAGACTTGCTAGTAGATTGTTGAACAATGAGTTTACATTAAGGTAGATCAATGATCCTACGAATACGAAAGATATGTACTGAACTATTAGATCATTGTAAATATCATCTCTGAATGCAAAAGGGAGATAGCTCAGAGCAGATTTTACATTCCTATTGATACCTCCATCTGTGTTGATATTTGAAGAAGCAAATATTGATCGGAGAGTTCCAAGGATTTTTAAAATACAGAAAAATGCAATTATTTTTCCGAATATTGACAATACTCTTCCGATCGGTGTGGTCATAAATTTTCTCTTTTGTTCAATTTGATGGGAAATTAGAGCATATTTTGATAGCATTCTTCTTGCACTTTTTCCATTGTCTTAATCTCGGCTTGTCAGACGTCGATTTCTAAAATTACCAGCTAAGTACTTACTATCTCGTAGTTCACCTTCTTTCGAAGAAAATGGATTTCTAAAGAAGCCCCCTAAGAAGCCTGAGCTTTCTTGGGTCTGAGAGCTTTGCTTTTTCCTTAATTTTTGTAACTTAGTTTTCTCCTTAACAATCATATCTAGGATGGATTTCAAGTTTTGAACTCTCTTCTCTCTGGGTGCTCTTGTCACACTGAAATCTAGTTCTTCATCCAGTAGCTCAATGCCAAATAGAGGGTCAAATATATGCTGGAAGAATAGATTAATGCCAGCAAAGCCTTGAAGCATGGCTGTAAGAATCACTCCTGTATAAACCAATAGCTTTGTCTGCATTGGGACTGATACTGCTAGAGCAACAACTGAGAACAAGAATCCGTCTGTATTTTCTTTGGAGCTATCATAATACCAATAATTATGAATCTGAACAAAGATAAAAAGTACAGCAAGGAAAGAGAGGAAAAACCCAAGGAAAATATTCTAAATATTAGATTTGAAATTACCTGAGTTCAAAACAATGTGGTGTTTTGGGTATTCTCCAGCTTTCCCTTTAGATATGCAAATGGGAGCAAGTAGAAGAGTATTATATCCAAAGAATAAAGGCAGAACTTCCAGAATACACTTCTGGTGCTCATTGTGTCTATTTCCATAATTTCGAGTAAGAAAAGCTGGAAGAAGAGAACTCAAAATCCAAAAGTTATCCCAAAAATGTGTGCGTTAAATCTTGACTTAAGCTCTATATCATGGAACAACTTCTTCCTGAGTACCTATATATCACACTTCTCCACTTTACATAATGAGAAAGTATCATTGATATACAAAACGTAAGAGATGTGATCCCTGTGATTGTCCACATTTTAAATATTCTATATAAAACTCCCTAATCGGGGTTTTGGGGTTTTGGGGTTTTGGGGTTTTGGGG